TCACTTAGAAAGAAGTAGGATTGGCACACACGGCCAGCACTCTGCTATCTTCCACGTGGCAGGCCAGCGGTCACTGCAGGCCTCAGCCTTGGATAAGCGAGACCAACGCAAGGACTCACTGTTCCCAAACCTCACTGGAAGAGAAGAGAGTGAAGACCTCTCTTCCCCTCTTATTTATACCCCGATTTACGTAAAAATCGTATGGAATACTGGGAACACTGCCTCTTCCTTGGTTACAAACTGGTAACCAAGGAAGGCCTAGATTAAAACCACCACAGCTATGTAATTTTTTAGCTAAGATGGCTGAATTCTATGCTATTAAACAGAAATATTCACAAATTAAAGTCAAAATAGTTTTCAAAATTATTACATTCTCAAACTCTTCCTTACACCACTGTAAACTCTTCTTCTAAATTTAGCTCCACAGATCTCCTTTAAGAGATCCTTATTTTAAACCAAAGCCAAAACCAATAAAAACAAAGTGGATTATAATAAAGCAGGGATTTCATTCACATATGAATGTGTACATTTGTTGGCTTTGTGGTCACCCTGACAAATAAACTCTTGAACTTCCCAGTGCAGCTGCCTGGGAGCAGCATCACGTCTCTGCTGTACACAACAACTTCTGGAGATGCTTTTAGGCATTTCTATATAAAGCTTTAAACATTCTGGTACAGTCATTATACAAGTGAGTCAGCTGAGACTGAATCAGTCTTATATGTGCAATGAACTGAATGGATCTATCTTTTGAGTTTGGGATATTCTTGCAATGTTCATTTTACACGTATTTTGGAGCTGTTGGTGAGGTTTCAATCTTCAGTACTAAGAGGCCAAAATAAACAAGTTTTATAACCTCTTGAACTTTTTTTTCCCCCTCCTCCTTGTCAGGAATATTAAGTCCTTGTCAGGACTTCAACAACAAAAAAAATTGTTCTGTTTGTGTGTGGGTGATTAACACAATGCCAGCCTGTGGGAGGGCTTTACGTACATTTGCGTGCACAAGCTTCTTTCCTCTGTGAATCCAGAAACACAGAGCTGTTCTGACTTGAGGTGGCTTCTCCTGTACTTGTAATCACATTCCCTCTCCAGCTACAGGACTTTGAAGTATTGGCATGGCACCATCTAAATTAACTTTATACTAACAAAGAATTTCTCCAGTGGAGTCATCCCTTGTTTCACTCTTAGGGGCAAATCCACAATCCCCCTGTGCCTCTTTCCAGTCATAAAAGGGAAAAATAGCATGGCTCCATGCACAGTTTTCACAAATAACATTACATAAATCTGATAGAAAGACAACTGCTCACACAGTGTATAATTATTCTTTCAGCAGCCCTCCAGATTTGTTTCTTCTCATACATTTTATTCTCATTTTGTCGTACATTCCTCATCACGGTTATTAGGCTTTAAGATACCCTTGACAAATATATAAAGGGCAATACTCTTCACTGGCATCAAATTATGTTTAGATTTTTTGAGTTAGTAGGTAATGTACCAGTAAAAGAATAATTAATTCCTGAAGGACTGAGCACAAAGGCAAGCATACGTTTGTCTGAGAAAGTGAAAAGTTTGACTAAACAGGAAGTTTATGAATTATCATGTTGTCATCCAACTGGATCAGTAGCTTTTTTCATGTTGTTTACTAAATGCCATGCAAATTAAGACAGCAATGGATCACACGGTTCCAGAATTAACTGATGACTTTTGGAGAATCTTTTCCCTATTAATTCAGACTTTTGATAATGAGGAGGTACAATCACAATGATGCAAAATGCCTTAGATTTACAGATTCTCTTGCCTCTTTATATCCTATGTCATATAAAGACATTTCCTGTGACTGGATGTGGAGGACTGCCTAAAAGTCTTGCAGAATAGAGGAATGTCTTGTAAAATTTACCTGAGGTGATTCTTAAGTATCAAGTAATAATTTTAGAGCAGAATTAATGAAATCTGTCTATGAAGTTTATTTTGTCAGCTATTGGAAATCCAATTCAAAGATATTACTAAATAGTATGCACTACCCTACAAGTTGGGGCAAACTCCTCTTTCTTTAAGGCATGATCCAATAACATAAGACAGAGAGAAATGCTGCTCCCAACAACAACAACAACAGAATCGTTTTGAAGGTTAAGAATATATGAATACTTTCTCAGTTTAACATCCTTATATATTCCTTCATGTCAGAAATCTTATTGGAATAAGAAGCAGAAGTGTCAAAGAGGTACTTTTTGCTCAGACAACAACAGATATTATTGAAAATCTGCCCCCTCTCCAAAATGGCTCTTATGCCATTTGTACCTCTGCTATGTTGGTGTTATGAAATTCTAGATAAGGTTCAGTCTATTATTTCAGGATAGGAGAACTCTGCCTTCACAGCAGTCACTGTAAGTTTGTGAACATTATTTGTTTAATGGGTCCAAGAAAGGAGATGAAGGGTCTTAAGGAGAGCATCTTGTGCATTTCCCTCTGCCTTGGGAATCAAGCACTTTTAAGGAAAGCCAGGATGGAAGAAATCATAGAACTTAGATAGCTACACCAGAGTCACTGCCTCCCATGCATTTGCAAAGTGTCTCCACTAAATGCCTTTGCCACTAACTCAGGGGATTCATTTTCCCCATTGAACTTGGAAAATAACTCTTCATCACAGTCATATTGATTTCTTTTTCAAAAGCAAAACCAAACAAACTGGTACCTTCAGCTTCTTTGCAGAACATATCTTTAAATTTTCTGTCCGTGTTTTTTGATCTCTATTTGTGGACATTTTTCAGTGTGACCCCCTGGTAGAAACAGCACTCTAGTTGTCATCCATTGTTGAATAAAACACCAATTGTTTCAGCCTTGGCCTCATCATTCATCAACAGGATCACTAAATTTCTTCATTTTTGTCTTTCATCTGATGTATTTCTATACACTTTTGTTTTGTTACATTTCTCACAACTTGCTAGTTTCATTTTGCACCTGGTTTTATGCCCAGTCTCCCATTTCTTCTACACCAATCTATGATTTATGTTTATAGCAACCTCTTGTTTTGACATTTTCATGGTGTTTGATTTCTCAGATTGTTAGATAAACAACTTCATTAGTTTATTACACGTGTCCTGTCTTCTCCTCTGCATTGGGGTAGGGCATCATTTTCCTTGCAATACAAACTTTTCAGGAACAGACTTCCCACACTCATTAGTCCCTTTGCTTATCTGCCCAAGAGATCATAACTACCTTCTCAGTCATTTTGCTGGGAAAAGCGAGTGCTTTTGTTTTAGCAATTTGCTAAAGTTGCTCATGTTTTAGCAATTGATCACCTCCACCCATATTTTCTTCCTTGACTCTCTCTTAAAGCAGCATCTCTTTGTAACTGTGGCATCAAACTACATTCATTCTCATATGTGTTAGAGTTGAGGCTTAGAAGAGCGTTCTCCTGTTTCAGATCTTCCTCTTGGTGCTGGGCACACAAAGGATAAAAATCAACACTTCATATTAAAGGAAAATGAGGCCCTAAACTTCAGGTGGGAGGTAAGACACTGCCTTAAAAACATGAATATGCTACATATACGATCGTAACAGTGACACAGTTTAGTTATGACCACATAACAAGCAAGAAGAAAACAATTCATTAAGGACAGAAAAAAACCAGCACAGTACACCAAGAACTTTATCCTTCCAGTATGTGTGCCCTCAGAAAGCTGGCAAACTTCTGGTGCTTGACACAAAACACTCTTTTATAAAGACCTGATAATACGTGTCATTCTGTTTCTTCTCAGGAAATGTTCTTGCAACCACTCAGACCCATGAGCATTGGGCTGTTTTCCATGGTCTATCCCTTTTTTTTCTGGAGGAAAGGGATTACTATAACACTTGTTCTCTTTTTCACCGAAACAACAATATATGTTTTACATTAAAAGCAGTACTAAAGCTTAAAAAATGTAATTTCAGGTTTGATGTCAGTTTATTCATGAAAGCCACAATAGTAAAATTCCAGCGCCCTATGGAGGAAGAAGTTGGGTGATCTGATGCTATCACAATCTGTAGACAATGGACTTGCAAATTAGCTCAGCTTCTTCTTGCAAGTTAGGTCACTACAACTGACTGGTAACATTTCCAGAGATAAGAGATTTTGTGACACTGTCTTCACTTTCCTGGCTGGCCTAGCTGTACCTCATCATGTGAACACTTGCAGTGTGGTAAATGAATATTATTTCCTCTCCCTTTGTGCAATGAAAGCTTTCAAGAGACCACATAGGAAACTTCTGCCATGTCATTTACTGTGAGAGATTTGTAGCTACCCAGAAGATGATAATCTGTGAAACCTTGCACATGCATCTTCCCTATTTAACAGTTATCTGATCAGTTGCTGAATGCAAGAGTAAAATTAACCTTTATATTTTGCACATAAAGAAATGAAGCATTACTAGAAACATTTGAAAAGCTATAACAGACAAAAACCCAAGAGGATGGGGGGGGCAGGGAGGGGAGAGAGAAATTTCAGCTTATTTACTCTAGTTCTGGTGAGATAACAACACCCTAATTTAGGAATACCTTAAACTGTAAAAGACCAACAAGGGTGATGTGATGCAATGCCTCTGTTATCAAGCCAGATTGCATCAACAGAAATTCCAATGCTGAGACACCTATCTTGTTTTAAATGGTAGCACCCAAAATAACCACTCTTAAAAGGTCATGTTTATTTAAAAATAGCTTGCTTGCATTTTACATTAAAGTTAATTGACTAACCTTAAAAAAATTAAATGCAAATCTATACAAATAATTTAAGCATCCTGTCAAAGTTCACATACACACTGCTAGAGCAATGAAAATATTCAAGGTCATATGAAATCTTTCTTAACCATGTACCATCCTGGGGATTATTCTATTAAAGACATATAGTATGCATTGAACTAAAACGTTTGAACCCTCTCTTTAGCAATATCTACCCTTCTTAGCAATAAAACCTAAAATTTCCTATTTATAATGTGTTTTCCAGGCCATAACAAAGAAGCATACTGTACCTCTGATGCTGGTGGCTGTTGCCGAGGTGGTTGTGCTGGCTGTTAAGGCTACAGTGGTTGTGACTGTTGCAGTGGTAAGGGAGGGGATGACAGTAGTGGGAAGCAAAGTGTTGAAAACATCTGGTGAGTGGAAAAAAAAATATAAAATAAAATCATATCATGCAAACAAAGGAGAACTATAACAGTGGTTTAATTTGTAAATACAAGAATGTTGAAAATGACTAAATTAAAACATGATTAACATAAATTATTACAGGTACAACAGAGTACCTTTAAATTCTTGACATTTATCACTCTCAATTTATTTTAGTCAATCTTTGAGCATATGGAATTTAAAACTCTGTTAAAATGACCAAGCTTCCACAGATCTAGAGAGTGACGGTTTAAGTGACAAGAATCCATTTCTTCACTGAGCCATTTTAAATGCCTCATATAGTAGAAACCATACACAGATGAAACATGCTGTGTCAGAGTGGGAGATGAAAAAAAACACCATCATGCTAAAATAAACACACACACATGTTAACGAGAAATGGCTGTATGTTAAAACACCCACTTTCAGACAGACTCAATGGAGGGAAAAAGGGGAGAAAATGCTACTAACTATAAGAGCTGCTTTTTCCGGATTGCTTTTCTTCTTCCCACACATTTGATTAAGACACAGTTGTCTGCTAAGATCCAGAGCAGAGTATATTTCAAAATCTTTACCCTAATTAGCAGGCACATTCATCTTTCAGTCATCAATTTATTGTTAGTACACACATCAGTATTTCTCTAAAACAGCTTTGAACTAAAAATCAGAAATTCTAATAATATTGCTATTAACAAAACCGTGCTTGTAAGTCAGAAAAAATGCATAGCCCTGATGATGAGAGCATCCTGCAAAACCCTTCAGCTTTTGATCAAGTGCAGGTGTGCCAGGCTTGGGGGCACCACTGCTTCACTGCAGAGGAACCAACAATGTCTGTAGCAAAATGCTCCAGCACAGAGCAGAACATAACCAGATGTACAGAGAGAAAATCCTTTGATTACACTGCCAAAAGCAATAAAGACCAATAGGACTTTGCTTATAAGGTGATTGCAGGTTTTAAAGAACAAACAAACAAAAGCCCTGAAGAGAACTAGGGAAAAGCACTTCCATGAAGACATAAAAAGCATCTGACACTTTTCAGATTATTTATATCGCAGGTTTAAAAGGAAAGGACTCGTTTCTTGGCAGTTGATGGTGAGTAACCCATTCCATACTGATTTCAGTGAAAATATTTCTGAAGGGTGCTATTCAATGCAATAAAAGAGCCAAAATCTGCCCCACAATCTGTCTTCCCTTTGCTGTGGAAAGAAATGCAATTGGTCTCTGAGTACCACCAATTCTGACTGAAATCAATGGAAGCTGAAGCAGCTCAGAGCTTTTCAGTACTGGGCCCTACTGAACACACTGCAGAAAAAGGGTCCTTGAGTTCAGCATTGCATAATTACTCTCTTAAGACCTCAAAGTAGCAAACTTAACTTATTTTCATACTGGACGACAGATTATTTTGCAACTTTAAAAGTATCCTTGTTAGTTAACATCTGTAAGTCACCTAAAATTTTCTGTATTCCTCTAGTTTTGATAAACATGAGTATTATCCCCTCTGGAATCTATACTTGTGGAATTTTTCCCTTCTGAAGTCTTCAGACAACAACATAAGATCCCTCTTTCATCTGTTGTACACTGATATTTAATCTATTTCTCAGTATAAAATATTCTCAAGCCAGAAAAATTAGAACAGACTTTAAAAAAAACCCTCAATGTAGTCATATTAATCACCAGGAAAAATGATAATATTACCTGGAGTGTGAGTACCACAATAATTAAACAGAACTGAGCATAACAAGCATTAGAAATAAATTAACACGTTAAAAAGATACATGTCACATGTACCGATCTATGCAATTTCTTCTCATAAAGGGAAACTCCTTCCCTGATAAGTATCTGGTAAAAATGAAATCAAACAGGAAAAACCCGACCTACTTCATAAGAAAAGCAAAACCTTGTTTATTAAGAAAGCTTTACAAATCACTCCTGTATGTAAAACCTAATTAGCGTGACTTATGGTTCCATTAATTATCTTTCTTGAATATGCCATTTACTTAAGACTCTGCAATGGTAAGTTGGGGTTTTATGGCAGTGCTATCTTTTGTGCTGTCTACCTGTTTTACCAAACAACGGCTTACATGAGTGACTGGTAAACTTAGAAGTCGATTGCTTTCTGGTTTCTCTTCTGATTGAAGCATTTCCAACAAGATTTCTCATTTTAAATGAAAGGCTATCTAGGAAAAATTCCAGTTAATAAGAACTAGGATATATTAGCGTTTTAATACAGATATGACAAATCCATCTTCTCACATCAGATCAAGAGTAATGAAAACTTTTGCAGAAATTAAGCTTCCTTATCAAAGAAGTCATAAACTCTGATGCCAAACATCAAAATGGCAGCTTGTGAGAAGCCTCAAAGAAAAACATATGTTCTCAAAAGAAACGTAAATACAAGGAACAACATTCGCTTTGTTTCTTCCTTTGCAGAGTAAGGTGAAATTCACCCTGCAAATGGTTACAGTTGGTGTGCTTTGCTCACAGCATTACAAAGATTTGCTCTAAAAGACCACATACAAGAGAGGAAGAAGGAATCAGCAGCCTGAGGAGCACTACTCTGCCCAAGCAATTAAATCTGGGTCTGCTCTGGACTCTAGAAATGTCTGGTTCATACCTGTCTAAGTTCGAGGCTCTGCCCTGGGGGAATTGCTTCATTAACACCATGAGAGTCTGCAACAGGAATGTGTAAAGTACACAGACAACACATTTTGGAACTCCTGGACCATATCTTGCCCTTAAATCTTGTTTCGGACAGCCCAAATCCAGGTATAGCATTCTGAAAAGCACCTGAGCCCCACTTACGTGGATGGGGCCTCTCAGTCCTATCGAGTCAGACAGAAAGGGTCCTGTCAGTTCTTCCAAAACTTCTAGATTCTCATGAAAACTTTGTCTTTCCCTGGAAAACACTTTTGCATGACGGAATGTAGAATACGCACTTCAAAAAAACCCCAGAAGTAATGTACAGTGATCCTCAGTCTCCCCTCTCAGTACTGCAGGTGTAGGAGGTAAACGGGTTTGAAAGTTCCCAAAATCAGACAGACTACAGGTAAAAAATGATACTTTATCAGCACAGGTTTCTGTTTAAAGCATCTGGATCACTGTGTTTCATAGAGGGTGTGCTGCTTCATTTGTATGCCAGAAAAGGGAATGACAATTTGACCTGTTTCTAGTCCTGCAGGACTTTTTTTTTTTTTTAAATGCAGGGCACACCTTTCTTACATCACTAGTGAGGCACACAATATGTTATCCAGAGCTCCCTGCTGGCAGCTGCTCAAAAAGATGCTATCAAAGGGACTATGAAGATTTGTCCTCTTGAGCTTTCTGTCAAGAAGGATCTATAAAGAATGGATTTGCAGATTTCTGCCCAAGAAACTGGTGTTAGAGTGAAACTTAATTCCATTTCCTTGTCTTGCAGTTTCTGAATCTAATTGTACACAATGTTCAGCTGTAAGCAAATCTTTGTTTATGCCTTTCATGCCACTAAACACCAAGGATCATTATGACCAAGAGACCTCATAGAGTAGAACTTTTTAATTCAAGTAGCCATACCCAAATCACTGCACAAGATTGCTATTTCAGTAATACTAAGGTATTAATCCCTAGCCTCCTGTGAAGCAGAAAATAGCTATATTTTGCAGATGGGGAACCAAAGAAGATAGAAAAGCCATGCTCAGAGATCTAGAAGTCAAGCAGTAATTTTCACCGTTAATTTTGAAATCTCACTTCTAAATTGGATGTCTGTTGACAGACAGATATTCAGCCAGAAATCCCATAATGTATTTAAGTTGGTATTAATTTCAAAACCTTGCTAGCTCTGAAATACAAACAATTCAGGGAGAACTAATTGTTTCCATAGAAGTTGTTGGAAATAGAAAAGGGGCTGATCTTCATGCCAAGGGGAGTTACTGACTCCAGTCCCAACTCTTTTTCACTTATGTTCCCACAGGTTATACAGGTAGGACCTGAACTGGGTTTTTGACAAAACATGTGGGCTCCTGACCTCTCTCTAGTGGCACAGGGAGGTTTGATCCCAAGTGGACAGAGGAAAAAGGAGGAGCAAGCAATGCTTGGCTTGGTCTGGGGGCTGCTCCTTGGCAGAGCTGCTCAGGAGTGGCAGAGTAATGTTGCACAAGGTCAGCTTGAAACAGTGTCAAGTTGTGCCTGATCAACATTTCCTGTTTGCCTCCTCTCTTTTGAATTGATGCTGCATTCCTCTCACTAAGGCAGAAGACATTCATCCATTTAAGTGCAGGGAGCCTGGACAATTTACTCTCACTGCAGATTTGGCCTTAAGCACTTTTACTCTCCATCTCCAAAGAAATGAGAAATGGTTCTGTTTGGTTTAGTAGGCTTATGTGAAAGATAGATCTGACCTACTGAAAATATTTGACTTTTTTTGGTAAAAACACAACTGATATTTTGACATGACTGAGCACAAATCAGACAACAATAGCTGAAGTTGATAAAAATGTAAAGGCTTTTGTTTCAAGCTTGACAAAGGCTGACAGAAAAATTAAAGGACAGAGTGATAATGATGGATGGCCCTTGCTGTATTTTGACTGAGAATGAAAGAAATTTTAAGTGGTAAACTGAACTGAGTGATGACCTACCTGGGAAACAATCTCACTACTCTGTGCAAAATTTAATCAGTCTGTGGTATGTAGCACTAAATAATTTAGCAAGGTTTTAAATTCAAAGGGAGCTGCACTTACCCTTGCTCTAAGAAAACGGGATTGAACAAAAGGATCATTCAGCTTGAATATCGTGTGCCAACAGCTCCTTAGCACTTAGACTGAATGATCATGAACGCTCATGGACATGAGGTCAAGGGGTTCTTTTTACTAATTGATTCAGATTTATGAAACTCTGAAATGGCAATTATGTGCTTGACATTTTTGCTAGCAAATCAGATGTCATTAAAAATATCCAAACCCTTTTAACAAAAGCCCCATGTAGATCTGTATCACTAGTTATAGCATGAGAGACT